TATATAATATATTCTGAAAATTTTCTGGACAAGTTCTAACATCAGCAACTCGGTAAAACAGTCATATCTCGAGTCTAATATCCAAAAGAGGCGTGCTTTACATGGTTGGAAAGCTTAAGAAATTTTCTACAACTTTTATTCCGAACACATGCCCAGATTCTGTCGTTAGGTTACTCAAAAATAGGACACAACCGAAACTGTTCTAAATTTTAGACTGCGCAGAAACTTCAACTTAAAACAGTTATATCTCTCAAACTAGATTAGGTATAGGATTGATTCTAGAGGCATTGGAAAGATACTTAAGTCTAGTTGCTCCCATAAAAATTTCATAATTTTTGGTTGAGTAGATTTAGATTGGCATTGAGATAAGGGCAGACTGCTCCGAAAAACAGATCCGAGAGAACATGATGTACCAAACCCAACTATTTATTTATTGACTCAAACTTTAATATTCTTAACTATAGAACTTGTGGACATGCCCACAAGGTTCCAGCACTCATTACAAAAATCCAACTCACACATAAACATAATAATAAATCAACTAGACACACCAAAGTTCACAATGCACTATTTGACTCGACTTGACCCAACTTAACCCATGCTACTAACGTCTTTATTACATAAGGGACTCTAAACTCCTATGGTGATAAACTCTGGGTAGCTTCTCATAGATTTTGGGCATCTTGAGCTGGGTCCTATACTCATCAAGCTGCCTTGCAACTCGTTTGCGAGCCTTCTTTTCCTTTTCCAATTCTTCCTTAAGGACATCATTCTTCTGGAGTATCTCCCTAGCAAAACGGACCATCGCCTTTGTAGTCGTATCAAGACCTTGAGGCTCCATCATCTCCCATCCTTCTTTTTTAGGGTCACAATGAGGAAGAAACCAGAATGGATCTTCCTTCATTTTCTCAAATCGTCGGGCACGGTATATCATACAAGCTTCACCCTACGAGCCTTCCTAGCTTCATCCCAACCAGTGACAAATAAGTCTGTCTTCTAGTATGTAGCTTCCTGGGGGTGCCGGTACTCAGTGCAACGATATTGCATAGCGGGACACAAGTCGGAGTAGTAGCATACAAGCACTGTCATGAGTAGGGAATAGAAGTAGGCTGTGTCATCCCCACGCTTGAAATAGAACTCCTTGGTCCACCCCACACCTAGGGGATGATTTTCTTCACTGAAGCATGGTCCTCTATAGCTAATGCGGGCGGTCTTGTTGGAACGAGGCATCTACAGAATTAGATTTAGTTAGAATAGAAGCAAAAAATTTCATAACAGAGTGAGACAAAAGAAGCATAAAACTTTAGCAAATACAAGGGTGAGATGGAAAGCATGAAATGAGTGAAGCAAAAGAAGCTAAAATGATCATTGCTAACTAGGCTTGCGTCCTATAGTCAACACGGCTCTAATACCAATCTGTCACACCCGATTTTAAAGATAAAATAGGATCACAAAAATCAAAGCTAAAACGAAGAAGTTATGATTTAAACAAGATTTCCTATAGTAAAATAATAGATTAAATCTAACCTCAAATTTTAAAAGTTGAAAACATATTTAACAGTAGTATGAACATGTAGATTATGGAATTACAAACCTAACGCAAGTTGAACGGATCAAATTGGAGTTAAAACGAAGATTTTATGGCCTATAGAAGATAGTGGCAAAACTGTAAATAGATGAAAACGTATTTTAGATCTAAACCGAAAGAAATTACGCTTTTAATAGAAGAAGGTGAATTCTATGATTGCGCTTTGGACTACAGGTTCTACAATCAAAACCCGAGGGACTCTTTAGCAAATAAGCCAGGCGAAGGGGTATCAGGCTCTGTTGGCCGTTGGATCTTCACCGTACGGTCAGGATTAAAACGGAGAAGGTAAACAGGGTGACGTCGGCCGGGAATAGGGACGGCACGGCGGTCCATCATGAACAGCGGCGAGGAGCTCGCCGGCGTTGTCGGTTTGGGCAAATCCGACCCCCATATGACACAGGAAAAGGACGGGGAGCAAGAGGGAGGCGCGGCGAACTCATCTAGGCGATCAATTGCAACTAAAAACGAGCAGAGGCTGCGGGCAGCGAGCTATGGCGGCTATGAAGCGACTGCAGCGCGGGGAAAGCCATAATAGAGGGAGAAAGAGAGGGATACGGGGATAAACCGGTTCAAGAACTTCACGCGAAGCTCTGAGTCGTGCTTACCGTGACGGAGGACCAACCAAACGGCATGGCGACTTCAGCTTCTTCTCGGCGGCTCAGGATGGCTGTGGAGCTAGGGTTCCTGGTGACGCTAGGGCACGGAGGTGCTGCGGATTGCTAGATGGGGGCGGCGGGTGCAGGGGTCGCTACTTATGAGGGCCTCGACGTGCGGGTCAAGCCAGGCGTGGCGTAGGCGACGCGATTTTCAGCAGCTGCGACGGTGATGGTGTCCGGCTCGGACACGAGCCGAAGGAAGGAGATTCGCTTGACGAGTGGGCCCGGTGCGTCAGCGAGACAGGTGAGGGAGTAAAACATGGGCGGCTGCGCTGGGCCTTCGGCTGGGCCGCGCGAGAGCGCTGCAGCTGCGGAGAAGCGAGGCGGCCCAAGAGCAAGAGCGGCTGGGCCTGCGGGGAAGCGGGAGCCGCGCGGGCGGACTAGGCCAGCGCCTGGGCCAACAGGCCGGAAGCAAGTGGAGGAGAAAAAATCCTTTTCTATTTCTTTTCTAATTTTTTAAACAAATTTTGAACTTCAAATTCAAATCAATTTGAAGTTTGATTTCAAACCACACAATTCAAAAATAATATGCAACAGCATGAATGCATAGACATGTAGGTAAACCTTATATTTGATTTTAATTTGATAAAATTTATTATTTTTCTATGTTACATGCTCACAAAATGCGTAATTAAATCATTTTCTCCTATTTTAAAACCATGCAAATTTTAGGGTGTTACACAAATGAATAGAAGAGCTAATCTCTTCTCCCTCTATTGCTGATGAACCTTCATCTTTCAAAAACTATAATTTGTTCTTACTCCACCAATTGTGGTTGCTCCTCGTGACCTTCATCCACATCTCTAAGAGAAGAACGATGTGCAAGCGGATTTCTTCTTCTCCTTGTATACACATGTACTTGTAGATTTCCTCTTCAGCTTGTGATCTTCACATCTCCTCGGTTTGATTGACTTGCAACCATGGGACATGGGATTAAGCCAATAACTTTTTCTCCTTGATTCCTCACCTTTCTCGGTCCTTGATGCTCCATTCTCCTCCTCACACATGTCGTGAGAATCAACATAAGCAAATAGATTACTCAAATCATGTTTGAATGGACTCCAAATCTATATCCTTTTTGTCATGATGAGTAGCTAATAAATATGCATCGGTAGCTTGAGGATTCAACTTACCAAGAGAAGGTCTATGATCCCTAACAAAACAATGCAAGAGTACATACCCAAACACTTTTGGTAGAACAACAAAATCATTCTTCCCAAGAAGCGTTTCGTATAGGGACTTCATACTAAGTACTCTTGATAGCAAGCTGATTAATAAGATAATTAGTTATCATAACTATTTTGATCCATAGCAATTTTGGTACACTCATAGTATACACTAGAAGCATACTCGGTGTCTATTGCGGGAATTGCAAATGATTTGTAAAATTATTGCTTATATGATGAAGGGATAAACTATCATAAATTAATGTTAGTGGATATATGGCTTATCACGCTGATGTGGACAACTAAATGCATGTTAGTGGATGATGTGTCTCGATGACATGTATATCATAATTACATATGCTATTGGACTATAATTGCATCCGATAATGGACTGTTGAGGTGGATAGCTTGCATATCGAGATAGAACTCTAGCGGGTTTAGGATTATATGATAATAAATACAACCGTTGCATGTATGGGTTAAATCTACATGTTCTTACATCCATTGTTATTAAAATTGGGCAAGACAGTGAAAGGATCCCATAAAAACTAACAGAATTAGCTTGAATTACGAGATGATGCATGGAACGGCAAAACAAATATGAATATAGGGATTTCTTTTGTATTTCTAATATATTGAAAGTAGTAATTGCATTTAGTGGGGATGACATGGATATCTTGCATTAAGATGTGGAAAGTTAATAGGATGACATGATTATTAGTGGAAGATGATGTAGATGACTTACATGTTGAGATAGAATTTATAGCAAGGATTAGCTTTATAGAGATATAGATATAGATAAGTGAAAGCATTACCTTCTCCTCTTCATTTGCAAAAGCTAGAAGATATAACTTTAGAAAAAAGTAATCTGAAAATGTATACTTTCTTTCAGCCTGTTCGGGAGGCCGTAAACGATCGTAGATTATTTACTGCTGGCTGGTTTGGTGTGAGAGAAAAACACTGTTCCTGGCTGGAAATTTACGATCGTTTACGAGCAAGCGAATAAGCTGTTTATTTCTCCCCGTCAATTTATAATAGCTACTGTAACATATATAACTTAGGGCATTTGGAAATGTGTACTTTAGAAAAAAAAAACTAACTTCTCCTCTTCAATTTGTGGTGCATTCAATGAAACTAATTTGGCATTGTAAATGTTGGTATACTTTTTATTATAAGCTTAGTTCGTCATAAAGCTAGATATATAATTATAAATTTAGAAAAAAAACTAAAACATCCCTTAAATTCAGGTGCGACGAAGTAAAATGAGAGTCCTGATCGCCAGTGGCCCCACCACTAACCGACCCGAGAAGTGGGTCCTTCGCCAGTCGCCACGTGTGCTCATCAGAGACGCCAGTTCCTCTGCCGGCTCCAATCCACGCCGTCCAGACGCAGTTGGCCGTTGCATAAAACCCCGGGGCGCGGTCGCCTCGCCGCGGCGTCTCCCCTCGTGACCTCGGCTCGTCCTGCTCTGGCGCTCTCCGCCGCGGCCTCTTCCTCCTCGCCGGCAAGAGACCCCCGCAATCAGCGTTTGGTGCAAGCGCAAGGCTTCGCGGAAGGGTAGAGAAGGCAATTCCAGGGAAGGGAGCGGCGATGGGGTTCAAGATCAAATACAAGCAGCAGCTGCGGGACACCGTGGCAAGCGGCGGCGGCGGCGGCGGCGGCGTTGGCAGAAGTAGCGGAGCTACACCGCCGACATCGCCGCCACGAGAACCCGCTCCCTCGCCGCGGCGTTCACCTTCGCCTCCTGATGCCGAGGTTAGTTAGGGTTCGTTCGTTCCATCTCCTCCTTGCAGAGTCACATTCCGCAGGGTTCTTTTGGTGGAATTTGCTTTGGTGCCGTTGCCGTGGGAGGTTCTTGAGTTCTTACGCCCGATTTCTTGGGCATTCTTTGTGCCGCTTTGATCGAATGCTGGGGTGGTTCGACGACTGGGTGCCGTCGTTTCCTCGTCTGAAGCTATTCCCGATTAGCTTGGTGGGTTCTTGATTATGGGGAGAAATCAGCCTACCATGATAAAGTAGAGAAGAAAAAAAAAGGTGCAGTTTCGGTTACGGACATTTCAAATGTGGGGTTCTTGCAGTGCCTTGGGCGACATGTGCTTGTGCCGTCCCTGCCTGATTCTTTGCTCTCGTGCTTCAGAGTCCGGATAAGTTGTTTCTCTTGTTGGATGACCTGGTGGCATCAGCCTTTTCATGGATGTTAACCCGTAACAGGGGACAATTGTAGTTTGGGTTCTGAACTTCTGATGCAACTTTTGGTAGGACTGCCTTTGGGTGGTTGTGATGTTTGCTGGAGGCAAATGTCTTTGTGTCCCTAGTCACCAGGTTCTATGGTTCAAATCTTGGGCTTGCATTGCCTTTTGTTGTTTCAGGAATCATCTGAAAATCTTTGGGATATGTTGTGTGTCGCCTCATTGACTCCAACAGTTTTCTGTAGCATTGGTGAAATAATGTCTAGTGCAACAATAGAGGTAAAAAGTCAACTTACTCCTTGTGCCCCCATTCTAGAGGAGGGGGCCTGATTGGTGATGTACCAAAGGTTGACTAATTAGTTGATGGGTAACAATAAAAGGGAATGGTCCATGCAAGTTTATTTCGTGTCTCTGTTATACAATATTCTTTCTTCAGATTTTTGTATCATGATTCATGAATGTATGGTTCTTGAACTGCAGAGTAAAATACCTCGACGCAAGGACCACTGCGATCCCTATGATCATTCTGGTCAACATGGAAGTACAACCAAGTTGTATGTGGGAAACATGTCTCGGTATACTCGGGAACGAGATCTTGAGGCTGCTTTTGGCAGATACGGAAGGTGAGCAAATTGGGTCTGAAGTCTGAACTTAACCTTTCTGTATCTGCGTTGGGAGCTGGTCCTGGATGCTTGGGGTTTCACTTGTTTTCTGCAAATAATCTGTTAATCTATACAATTTTCTAACTGGAATTGGTTATTTGGATGTTCTCTAAAAGTTAGGCACGTCAGTAGGAAATTAAATGTATTACAAGCAAATAAGTTATTTAATTTGTTATGTGTTGGAGTCTGTATAATTGAACTTTGCCACCCTTCATGATTGGTTTAGCCAAAATTATAAACAGATACTGCGTTAGTATTACTAACTTTATTAACTTTATTACTCCTATTGACGTGCTCTATTAAGCTCACTAGAGCTCTGTTAGATAAAAGGAGGTTACCTGTGGCTAGTGCCTTACAATTTGTTCTTTTTTCTCGAAGAGAGCTGCATATCATTATATTAATAAGAAAAAAATAGGGGGAGAGAACCCTTCCAAAATATATTCGAGAAAAAAAGAACCCTACGAAATCCACATACACATACACATTTTTCTGGTTCTGAACAAGTTCTTCTTAACAGAAGTTATTTTCAGTTTATTGACTTAAGCTGTCAGACTCAAGAGACTTAGAGGTTAGTGACTTGACAAGTCCAACTGTGGGCCACTGCTCATTATGTTCCCAGCAAATAGGTTTCGATTGTGACGTGAACGCAAATTATCATGTAAAGTGTATATCCAGATTTGATTCTTCTTTGTTACTCTTTTCTAATAAGTGGTGACCTATTCATGGTTTCTCTTCCTGATGGTTCTGCTGATTTCAAAACTTTCTACATAGTCTATTAGATGTTGCATTTCTTTTGTTTTTTAACGTAGTTGCATTTCTTATCTAATGCTGCTGCTTTCTATGCTGTACGATCGAGTAGGTTGAGCTTATGCTTGGTCTTTTGTTTCCCCTTTTGTGTCGCCAGTTTTCCATCACATGACGAAGTTCCTTGTTCTCTTTAACTGGGTAAGCTTGTTGAAGGTGTTGAGATTGTCACTTTATATTGGTGTTCATGGTTGGAGTGTGGCATTGGTGGAGTTGGTCTCTGTTACTCCTAGATTTTGAGCAGATTTTGGACATTCTTTTGAAAAAGTTCTCATCTATTCTATACTCTTATAAAGCAAAACCCCACTAGCTTATTTCTCTAGCATCTCCTTAAGCCACGTCATCCAGGCCGTCTACTGCCCTGTTGGAACCAGACGAACGCATGCATTATATTCATGCTGGATTAATTAAGCTGCTGCTAGACTATCTCTTACCCTTCTCCATCATGACTCTCGAATCCTCCACTCCCATGGGAACCGCACTCCACCAAGGCACTAGCACAACACAATTATTCAGGGCATCGCTTCAACTCAAGATCCAAGCAAACGAATAGACGAGGATCTGCTCAGCTCCCTCGATCAGTCCCTCTGTCTAATGTCTTCCACTCTCATATCAGTAGATATGTAGCACAGTAGCAGCACATTGTCTCTCTTTCCAATCTCTTGCTTTAGCATCACAGGTAGTCAGCACAAAGCAAGCTTTTTTTGTCTGGTTTTCTCTCCTTTCAAAAAAAAAAACCAGTGTACTACCTGGGTGCTTTACCCTTTTTCCTTCTTAATATATTGATACGCAGCTCTCCTGCGTGTTCGAGAAAAAAAGCACAAAGCAAGCCCTCTCCAAGCCGATATGCCATTGTCTACAGCACGCCAAGTACTACTTCTGTGCAACTGTGCACGTTCTTGGTCATTGACATTTTTTTCATGCTGGGATTTCCATATTGACCGTTAAGCACATGTCGTCCTGATATTCCAAAAGAAACAGCCTGCCTTTTAACTATCATGGTCCATCTCAGCTATTTAAGCAGCATATGTACAACGACTCTCGATTCTGTGAAGCGGCTGATTCAGTCAGCTAAGGATTACGATGATTTTACTGACTAATTGTGGTTGTGTTTGTTATAACCCTTCCATGTTGCAAGCTTTAAGACAGATCCTCTCAAGTGTTGTGGCCTCAACAGCAGAAGAAGCCATATCCCACATTTTATTGGCAATCTGCACTGCTAAATATTTTTTTCAAACATTCAAAGCTCTTCTTTATTATGTATTTTTGTTTTTATGTGTCTTTGTAATACACAAATTTAAGGATTTTCTTAACTGCTAATTTGTTTTCTCTTAATTTAGTTTAGATGGTGGCACGTATGTTTGTTCAAACTTTACGGTATATTGATTCTATGTTCTACCAAGCATTCAGGAATGTGGGCTTTATAGGATCACTCTGTATGTATATGTGCAACAAAACATATATTGCTAGGTAATGGGTCGTTGTATCCTCAAAGCACGTTAAATCATCTTATAATTTGATCTAATATTGTGATACTTTTTATGAAATTATTTCATTAGCTTGACAAATTTTGACTAGAACCAATGCAAGAACATGTAGCTCAAATTAATACATACAACGGTTTTATTTTTAAGAAATTCCCGCAGCAACGTGCGTGGAATTCTTCTAGTTCTTTTATAAAAATAACACTTATGGCAAATTAGTGTTTAGTTTAACTGCTGTCCGTTGATACATTTTCATCACTTCGGTTTTAATGTCATTGCCGTTTCTGTCAACCACTTACACAGATTGCTGACGGTGTATCTGCAGGGGAGGAACCATGGCTTTGTTGTAAGTAGAAATCTTCACTTCTTTGATTTGCAAGATGTACCTTTAATCTTTCTAATTAGTAACAGGTACTTCACTATACTGTTCCCATTTAAGACCACAATTGTGTTTTCGTCCGTTGGATTATATTGCAGGTGTTTTATGATCCCAAGGATGCAGATGCTGCAAGAAATGGCCTAGATGGCCAAGAAATTTGTGGGAGCTACATCACTGTTCAATTTGCAAGAGAGGTAATCTGTCACTCTTTATCACTGTTCTTTTACTGCATGTGACATTGACCAGATGTAGTTATGAAATTACTTGGGAGATAGTGAAATTCTATCTTACCATATTCCTGCAACTGAAATATCACATCTTATTGAATTTACTAAATTTTATCAGGGGAAACAAACCAAAAATTCAACTTTTATTTTTTACTGGGTATGGAATATCCTAAATTAATCTTGAGTTCGATAAGAGTGACATGATTAGGTAAAGGTTGCCCAATTAATTTAGGTATTCTGTATCAGGCCCGTGCAAGATTATTTGCATGTCTGTCACAAAATTTATCAGTATAGGTTTTGTAACCTGACTCTTTTTTGTCTTGAAGCACAAAATGACTCGATATGACACGCGTTATATTCATGATGATCAAAATGATCGACAAGATGGTAACTCCAAGTTGTTCGTGAGCAACATTTCTCCACGTACCCAAGAACATGATATTAAGGACCTATTCAGCAAATATGGGAGGTGAGCAAATTAGTTCTGAGCTTAACCTTTCGTATTTCTGTTGGGAGTTGCTCCTGAAACGAAATCGGGCTGGTTGGTTTAACTTCTTTTCAGGAATTTATTTTTCCTATTGACTGTAATTGGTTTTCTAAAGGTTTGCAAATAAGTGAGCCAAAGTTTTAAGTAGATTTTAGCAATTCTTTTAAAAAAGTTGTTGCCTAATTTTTCTTTGTCCAAATAACATTTATGGTAAAATGGTGTTCAATTTGGCTACTGGCTGGAGATACATTTTCATTTCTCGAGTCTCATGGAGTAACTGTTTCTTCCAATCATTCCCCCCAGAGTGCGCAAAGCGAATCTTAAGGAGAACTATGGTTTTGTTGTAAGTAGAACTTCTCACTATGATTTCGAGTTAATAATTGGTACTTCATGAAGTTCTTCACATTTAAGACTGCCCCTGTGTTTCTTGTTTGCTGGATCATGCTGCAGGAGTTTTGTGATCCCCAGAACGCAGATGATGCAAGGTGTGAACTTAACGGACAAAAATTTAATGGGAACCGCATTGGTGTTAAGTTTGCAACAGGGGTAAGCTTTTGCTGCAACTGTTCCTTACTACATGTGACATTTAAATTCTGTGCACTTCCTTTGTTGTGTGTTTTGGTCAACCTTTTGTTGATCTGTTCTTTCATACGTTTTGTGCCCTTTGCTGATCAGATCTCTATTTTATTTGACATGTTTGTGTTGATTTCCCTAGGTTCCACGTGGTCCAGTAGATTCTGCTCAAATCCTCTGCTATAACTGTGGGGCAGGGGGGCACTTTTCTGGTGATTGCAAGGCTGGTGACTGGAAAGATAGGTGCTACCGGTGTGGAGAAAAGGGCCATCTCAAAAGAAACTGCCGGAACAGTCCTAAGGGTATCAGGTATTTGCTCGCATTCTCTAGCTAGGTTGTGTGTGCCCTTCTGCTTGTATATGCCCTTCTGCTTCTTTTTTTGTTTGCACACATTTGATCTGTAATTTTCACAGATACAGGCGAAGGAGAAGCCATTCGAGGTCCAAGTCTCCTGTTCATGGAATGGGCCAAAGCTGGAGATACAGGAGTCGCAGTAGGAGTTACAGGTCTTCTGCTGAACCTTGTTTGAACTTTTAAGTATATTCTTGTGCCCTGATTAGCTGCTTGGTTTGTTGAGGAGAAAAGTGAAGTGCTGTAATATAATGTTACTACGAGGCGTAGAAAGAGGGAATTGCAATCCTTGTGCTCCACTTGTCCTCTATTAGTCGATGTGGTAGACTGACTAATTTTCTCAAATCTCAATATTCTAAGTAGTGATCGATCTCTTGACTGATATCTAAATAAATTGGTTATGCAAGTGACCTGTTCAAGACTGCTGCATTAGGTCTAAACTCTGGACACAAGTTTTCAAGTAAAAACCCACAATTTTTCAAGTAAAAACCTTGCCTGCAAATAAACTGCTGGATTATATTTTATATAATGCATAGCATGAGAAAGTTTGTGTTTTCCATTCCTTTTTGTTATCGTTTGCTTTTGTAACAGTTAATCATTATTAACTGTGTGGTATCTCCTTAGCAGTCAGCCACCATCTCCAAGTAGGGGTAACCGATATACTGGTGGTGAAGAATTGCCATCAAGAAGCCCCTGTTACAGCCTCAGCCACAACCCCAGGAGCAGGAGCAGTCCCCCACCACCAAGGGAGCCAGCTAAACGCAGTGGTTTATTCCATGATGCACTCCCCAGGAGAGGTGACAACCGGAATCCTGGCCCCAATTATCAGCGATGATTAGTTAATTACAGACATTGGCCGTTCACCAAGGGGAAATGCATCACCATGAATTGAAACTCTGCAATTGTGAATTCTCAAAATATGCTTTCCTGAAGATTAGGTTGCGCCTACTCCTATGCCATGAGAGACTTCATGTCTGGTGAATCTTGATCATTACTGTGAAGATTAGGTTGTGAATTCTGTGAAAAGCTATGTTTGTGAGTATACTGAGGCCTGAGACATCAGACATTCTGTCTGAAGAATTTTGATCGGATTCAACATTTTGTGAGGAATCTTGTCTGGACTTAATTAGGCTTCTGTGACCTTGAGCATCAAAGGTGTCAGGTTTTGGTATATATGTGAACTGCAACTTCAGGTGAACCAGAGTTGCCAAGGAGCCTACATCACCAGACACATGCCTAGTTGATCGCCAATTTGCCACTACGATAATGGGTGAACAGTGAACACTGCTATCTGAAACATGTTGTATCCTTGATGATCAAGAGATAGCTTGTTCGCACGGACGCCAGACAGGAGAGGAGCCATGTGTCATCCAACTATGTATTCTATTGCTTTTAAGCAGATCTTACTGGTTCTGAGGAAGACAATCTCTTTGCTTAGGGCCTGAGCCATGGCATGGTTTAATGTCAGACAACAATAGACTTGACATGCAGAACTGATCAATTGGGAATTTTATTTTCTCAGTTATTTTGTGTTTTGGATAGCATGGATCTGATCAGAAGTTAGGTAACTGTACATTTGTGTATCTGCTTAATTGTACGACCAACTTCTGTTGGGTGTTGCAATTCAAATCAAGGTGAACTCAAATGCATGTGCAAATATTTCTTAGGTTCTGTGTTTAATTTCTTTTCTAGAATTTTATATTTTTTTTGTTAAACAAAACAGAATAGAAAAGACAAGTCATGTTTCTTGTAAAGAAAACCATTTTGTTGCACGAATCTTACAATCGATGCCCCATTTTTATCAGTGTGTATTAGCGTGTTTAAAGGGGTAATCCAAAATTAGTGTACGACGGGGGCTTGGTTCATGCAAAGCACATAACTATTGACATGTTGGGCAAATATTTACCGAAATTTATGGGGAACATATGGTTGAATGGAATAATCAAAATTCAGTCATGAAACTACTTGCCCTGACCTGCCCAATTTCGGGAATGGGAGTGAAATAGGGAACTAATGAAATGCAATGATATTGTATTTCTACAGCTGATGAAATATAAGTTCAAATCTTGTTGAAGTTACTAATTTTTGGTACGCAACACTCAAAAGCCTAACTTTCATATGTTAAGACATCTTATGAAAAATATATAAAGATTTTGCTGACATGCAGAACTCAATAGGAAGTGAGCCTATAGCCTAAATAGTTGGATGGAAGGTGTGGTCATGCACCCAATCACTCAAGTTCGAGTATCTCCAACTCGAATTTGGGAGTCTTTTTCTCTTATTAGAAGTCCGCCTCATTCCTTCTAGGATGGTAACATTTTTTGACCTTTTGCCTTGGAGATAGTGTGAATAATATTCAGAAGTTAGGGTGAACTCAAAGCGGGGGTTCACAACAGTGGGAAGCTCACCACGGCAGCAATTCACAGTCAAATATTGAACTGCAAAAGAGAAGGAACTCCGGTGAGCTATTGCTCATACAAAAAACACAAAGAAAAACAATGAGATCCATCTATATCGATGTGTTACCGCCTTGCAAAACTTGTGGATGTTACCACGTGGATGTGATCTCGACAGTGATTGAGGCCCGATGGCGGCGAATTGCGTAGCCAGGTGGAAGTTGTTCGTCGTCTCCTTTTAAAGGCAGAAGAGGGTAGGAGAAAGGGCACGGTGGTTATCATCGCATTGATTAGGGCAGCCACAGTAGCCTCCTTGATGGCTACCATAGCCAGCTTTCACTACCGAGGTGAAACAACCACAATGGGAGCGGGAGGTGGAAAACAAGGTGGCGGGTGAGGCTAATGAGTAGGGATGTGTTGCCAGTGGGAGAGTGTGCAGGCGTGGCGAGACGGGATGCTGAGCAGGGTTGGCCGAACAGGCCATCCTAGCAGGCCAGGTTGAAGGGCTAAGGGGGTGGGGGATGGGTGAGAGAGAAAAAAACATACTAGGCTAAGTTAGCTGTTGAGCTGAAAAAGGAGAAAAAGAAGATAAAAGAAAAACTTTGTCCTTGGGTTTTGAAAATTGATTAAATTCACCTATACAACATTATTCAACCAAATCATAAAAACACAATGCACCAACATGAATGCAACAAAAATATTCTAGCCTTATAATTGTTTTAAATTTTATAAAGACTTTATTTTTCTGGTGTAAATTCATGAAAAAGTTAAAAATCAATTACTAATTAGGAAAATCATTTTTTTGATCAAAGCTCATGTTCAGCTTTATTAGAAAGCTTAACCTTAAACCCTCAATACATCTGTTGGGGTTACCAGCTTACAATGATAAATCCGAGCATAACACCACACGAAGGCAGCAAACGCATTCCACAAGTTTGCACTCTACCCAATTTACTCTAGAGATCACACAAAAGCTAGGATAATCACTATGCTACTCTACAGAAGGTCTATGCTAATCCATGCATTAGCTTGACCATGCATTTTTTTTTTTTTGGCTTGAACAAAGATCTCCATGTCTTGAGCATCACTAGATTCTTGTGGATCATTTTTTAAGGCAATTCCTGTGGATCATTGACACCGGGGACACAATAATTTTGTTTTGAAGATGACATGTCCTTGACTTCCACAACGTCCACATGGCCCATCAGTACACTTCTCTTATTACCTCTACACCTTCCAATTACCTCAACAAACAAACTCTCAAAGCTTGTTGGGGAGCTTGGCCAATTAAGCATATGTCATCATCACGTATATAAAAGGCCACAAGAAGGAAGTAATAGGACATTGGAATAAAATGTGATCAATTGTTTCAAATTGGCCATAGAGTTTATAGCTCTCTGAGCCAGATCAATTTCTCCTCTTCAGTTGCAACCCGCATTAGATTATGTCATTATACTCCATCCATAGGAAGATTTGAACTTTGAGTGGGATTCTACAGTTCTAAATTTCCATCGCTTTGAGATCCTTGACACCTCCAAAAATCAGCATTTTGTAGTGATTTCGTTGGTTTTTTTTTCGAAAGAGCGGCAAGAGATTTGCCACGCATTATATTAGATGGAGAAAAGAAAAAAGAGATACAAGAATTCAGTCACCTCGTTTCAAACAATTGCCCACCTACTGAGACAAGAAACTAAGCACCACTAGGGGCAAAGGGAAACCAGGTTGACTGAAAGAAAAAAAAGACAACACGACTGAAAGAACACAGGATAAAACAAGCATGGAAAAGACCAACACAACTAAGAGGAGCTAACAAACTGACTGTAAGCCAACTGAAATTGTTGTATGTCTTCCTTGCACAAAGATGCAACTTGTCTTGTCTGCAACTCCTTTTGTTGGAATGTTCTTCTATTCCTTTCTTTCCATATATTCCACCAAAACTAGATCATGACGCCATCAAAAACCTTTCTTTGGTCTTTCAGTATCCTAGCACGACACTTGCGCCAGTATCTGTAGAGGGATCCCGAACTGTTTATTGGGTTCAAGATTGATAAGCCGAACCATTGTTTCATAATCTCCCAAACCTCCTTAGTAAAGGAGCAATCCTTGCATAAATGTGTCGGGGTCTCTTGGTCTAGGTCACAGAGCTTACAGATTGGATCATGCTTCCAATTACGTTTGTTAAGATTGTTAGCCGTGAGTATCTTCTTATGTAGTAAAGTCCATGCAAAGAAACGACACTTTGGCTCTGCTTTTGCTTTCCAAATTTGCGAGATTTTGATTCTGCTGAAAACCCCTCCGAATTGAATATGATATGCGCTTCTCGTCGTGTATTCTCTATCTGCCATCCATCTCCATTTTATTTCATCCTCAAGCGCCGGGTTCAGGACTATCCCCCTCGTGGCTTCCCAGAGTTCCACGTACTCCAAAATCTCTTGCTGCGTGCTTAGTGGAGTAATGTGGTCAATCCATTTATCACCGTTAATGGCTTTGTGAACCTTGATTTGCTTTCTTTTTGCCTTCTTATATAGGGTCGGAGCAATGTTCGTTGGGGTGTTTCCATTCAGCCAAGACGAATTCCAGAAACTAGCTGTTTTCCCGTTCCTGACTGAAACAATAGTTGATGCGTTAAACAAATGTCTATCGTACTCATCACAAGGTATATCCAGACCATTTCTATCCTTTTGTTTCCACTGGAACCAAAGCCACCTTATTCTAAGAGCCCGAGCGAATCTTTCAAGGTCGGAGATGCCTAGACCTCCTTTCTGTTTTGGCAAGCATGTTGTGGGCCAGTTGATTAAGGAGTGCCCACCATAAACCTTATCTGGTGTCTCCCCTCGCCATAAAAAGCTTCTCCGTAAACGATCAATTCTTTTGATGAGCCATTTTTGAGCTTGAAAAACAGTAAGACGATATATGGGCTGAGACGAAAGGACTGTTTTGACAAGCATTTCCCTGCCCGATGTAGATAAGAATTTTCCTTTCCAGACTGGTAATCGATCTCCAATTTTGTCCAACAGGGGCTGCACATCAATCTTCCGCAGCTTACGGGTGTGTAGAGGAAGGCCCAAATATTTTCCAGGGAAACTGCGTATTTTCCCTGGAAAGTTGGTGATCAACTGATCGACTGCCACTGAGTCCATTCTTATGGGGAAGATCTCAGTTTTTGATATATTTATTTTCAGACCTGAACATTCACCAAAGAAGGATAGAAGCTTGTGAAGTCGACTCAGCTCCAAAGCAGTTGGTGCAGCAAAAATTGCCGCATCGTCCGCGTAAAGAGAACATCTTAGGCTGGCAGACTGAGGGAGTATTGGTTGCAACACGCCTTTGTGAGCTGCTCTTTCTATTATTCGTTGTAGCGGGTCAATAGCAAGCACAAAGAGCAGGGGAGAAAGGGGATCCCCCTGCCTGAGACCACGAGCATGTCTGATGTTCTCACCCAGCCGGCCATTTACCAGGACTCTTGACGTTGAGGTAGCTAAAATTGACGATATCCAATCTCTCTATTTTCTACTAAAGCCAAGGGCCCCCAGGACCTCAAGAAGGAATGTCCATCCAATGGAGTCAAAAGCCTTGGAAATATCCAACTTAATGAACAAAGCTGATTGCTTCTTTTTATGTAATAGTTGGATCACCCTTTGTGCATAGAGGAAGTTATCATATATGCATCTTCTTTTGATGAAAGCATTTTGTGCATAAGAGACCAGCTTGTTCATGTGTGGCACCAGGCGGTTCGCCAGTATCTTTGTAATAATTTTGGCAATGCTATTGATCAGGCTTATTGGTCTATAATTAGTTACGGCTGCTGCATCCGGTTTTTTTGGTAGAAGCACAATGTTCGCCTCATTTACAAGATTGAATTTTGTAGTCCGATGATTGTAGAAGGCAGTGACTGCCAGGATGAGATCTGATTTTATAAAGGACCAGCACTTTTTGAAGAAAATCCCAATGAATCCGTCCGGTCCCGGAGCCTTCTCTGATGGCATTCCTTTTATTACAGAGCCGATTTCTTCTTCTGTGAATGGAGCATCTAAATCTTCCAAATCATGAGGCGCATAACCCAACTCATGCCAATTAAGTGCCTTCGTTCTTGTCCCCGGTGTACCCACCAACTTTGAGTAAAAATCATGCACCGCTCTGGCCTTTCCATCTTGTGAAATGGCCACTCCGGATTCGAGTATTAAACTACTAATGTAGTTCTTCTTTCTTGAGAAATCAACACACAAGGCAGCGGGCCCCCGCGTCGCCCCCACGCAGGCGACACGTGAGGCGACCCAAACCCTAGCCGCCTCTCTTCCTTCTCTCCCTCTCTCCAGCCGCGCCGTCGTCGGAGCAGGCCGCCGGCATGGCCGTGCAGCTTGCCGGGAGGGCAGCGGCGAGGCTCTTCTTCGCGGTGGAAGCTGCGACGGTCGGGGACGAGCTCGCGTGGGGCGTCCTGGGGCACGGTGTGGTCGCTGGGGCAGGTGGTGGCGCCGGCGTCTTCAGCGGCAGTCTGGGGCTGTCTCCTCGCTTCGGCGTCCGGATCCGGCGGTCCAACGGCCGGATTCGCGCGGATCTCCGGCGGGCTGCGCCTGGGTGGGCGCTGGGCGCCGGTGGCGGCGGCTCCTGTCCAAGACGCCGCGGATCCATGGGTACGCACGGTGGCGGCTGCGTCGCCCAGGGCCGGGTCTCTTCCCTTCCTCGCGCTTGGTGGCGGCATGCGCAGTAGCAGGGCGGCGGGGCGTGCCCTCGCGTGAGCCGCGTGGGGCTCGGCGGGGACGCCTGCTGTGGCAGCGGCGCTGGCCAGTGCCCGTGCAGGTGCCGGGCGGTGGCGGGGGCTCCTTCTTCCTCCTCCGCTTCCCCCTTTCCTCCTCGACCATGGCGTGGAGGCGGCGGCGCCAGCCGGGGTCACTGGGTCTGGCTCCTTGACGGCTAGATCCGGTGCCCCCAGGGCAGGGGGGGGCGCTCGAGGTGGGGCATGCGCCTGTCGGTGGCTGGCGGAGGTTGGCAGCGTCGACGGCTGGTGCTTGAGCCGGCGACGACAGCTGGCGACAACTTCGGCGTGCGGCAGGGTAAGTCCAGCTCTGCACGTTGCTCGGTCGGAGGGGGTGGCGGCCGACGTAGTTGTGCGGCTGCTGTGAGCAGCCGGCGCATCGATGCCCCTCTGGAGGGGCTTCTGCGGGATGGCAGTGACGACGACGGTGGCGACAGGCTACCGTCCGGCATCTTGGCTCGATGTTTGTGCTAGGGGCACCTCAGGTGAAAGCCTTGGCGACGGCGACGCCTGTGGGTGCCGTTTTCCTGGTTGGGGGCGTCGTGTTCTTGTGCCCCGAGCCATGTCTTCCACGGGTGGAAACCCGGTCCATTCCTGGACAAGCGACGGCGGCGCTATCGGCGTCGTACCCTTCCTGAAGACATCGCTGTGGAAATTCGTCTCAGTCGTGATGTCTCCTTCGGCGGATGTCCTCTGCCTCTCGGCGCCCGGTTGACACGAGATGGCGAGTTCTGCATCGTGAAGTCGGAGCTGCTGCATCAGGGGATGTAGCTCGGCAACGATGACGTGGGTCGAACCCTCCTTCTCCGACGGCTAGGTTTTAACTTTAGAGGTTCGGCAATCGCCGCGGGCGGGGCGTGGGATCAAGGCAGGAAGTCGGAGCTGCTCTTCGCGTAGCCATTGAGCTCGGCAACGATGACCTGTTGCAGCCTCCTGCTTCGGGCACGTTGGTCTGACATCTTATGTTGGGTCGTCGGTGTTTTGCCATGGGAAGTAAAAGCTGTTGGCTGCTTTGCAACCATGCTCGGCAACGATGACTCATGGTAGTGTGTAATCTACCACGTTGCGTGGGTGGGCTAACCTTTCGTGGTGTTTGGTGCCACACTTGGCTACCTTTGTATATAAACTTTATTCGTTTTAATTGAAAGGCGGAGCTCCTGCCATTGTTTAAAAAAATAGTTCTTCTTTCTTCTCTTGGCATGAAGCTGAAAAAAACGAGTGTTTGAATCACCTTTGCGAATCCATGTTAATCTAGAATGTTGTCTTGCTCTGGCCCTTTGAAAGGCCGCCATTCCCAGAGCCTTAGCTCTAAGGTAAGATTTGAAATCCCTCTCTTCTGCTGTTAATATCCTTTCATCTTGGGCCCTCTCTCCAGGTTGGCCATTGTGATTTGTATTATAGCCCAACGAAGCTTCCAATCACTGAATTGCTTTCTTCTCCAAATTTTGATGGCTCTCGCTGCTCGCAGAAGCTTTACATGTATGCGCAGAAAAGCGTCTTGCGTGTTTACGGGCTGGGACCGAGCCTCTTGAACTACTACCTCCATTCCAAATCATAAGACGTTTGACTTTTTTGATACTAAGTTTGACCACTCGTCTTATTCAAAAAAAATTATATAGACATAGTTAAATTTAAGTTATTCTTGAAGAATTTTTATTAATAAAGCAAGCCATGACAAAAGAAGTGATATTTTGCATAAATTTTTGAATAAAGCGAGTGATCAAACTTGATCTCGAAAAAGTCACACGTCTTATAATTTGGGATGGAGCTAGTACTTCAATAAACCCTGGCATGTTGATCCAATAGGATTCAAATCTGAAGCCCCTGTAGAAATCAAAAGAGTTGTCACCTTGTAAGAATAGTGGACAGTGGTCCGGGCCCATTGAAGCCAGCGCGTGAAGATCCGTTCTCGGAAAAATCTCTAGCCAATCCGGTGTGATAAACAAATGATCTATTTTGGTCATTGTCGGAATTTGCTGGTCGTTGCACCAGGTATATTTTTCCCCACTAGATCAATTGCTGCCATCTGAAGATTGTCAATTGTGCTTCTGAAGGTGTTGAGCAGGGACAAATTGATCCGGTTATTATTTTTGTCTTGGGCTCTGTAAATTAGATTAAAGTCACCCAACATTAGCCAGGCAGGAAGCATGTGTTGTTTTAAATTGGTGATCTCCTGTATGAAGGCATTTTTTTCCGCATCGGTCTGGGGGCCATAGACACCGGATATAGACCATGAGATGTTCTCAGCCAGCATTACTAAGTTTGCAAAGACTGTGTTCTCTGTGGTCAGAACATGTTGTGGCCTGAAGAAGCGTTGGGATGCGGCAATGAGGACACCACCCGATGTTCCAACAGCCGGCAGGAATACACAATCTTGTGCCAAATCAGCCCCTACTGCCTCTAGGATCAGGCTATCAGTCCACGCAGCAATCTTTGTCTCCTGAAGGCAAATCACTGTTGCCCCGAGGATATAATTAGATTTCTAACAGTCGCCCTCTTAGCCCCATCATTTAGGCCTCTAACATTCCAGCAGAGTATGAAGCAATCCTTAGCAGACATGGATTAAACTGGAAACGACTTTACACATTGAGATTAAGTCCAAGCAAATTAGTTCTGCAGGAGTTGTTGGACAATTCACCATGTTACATGAAGCTGAAAGGTTCGTTGTGAACCTGCCTGATTGTTCTAATTCCTGCTCATCTCATCCCTACCTCTTACAGATGCTACTTCCTCGAGTAAAACCTATAGTTTATTTTAACTCTCCTAGCTGTATGGAAGTGATGGACTCCACTTCCAATGGCCTCCTGGCAGCCTCCATGGGGTGGCGAGGTGGAGAAAGAATGCATGGGAGCAATACGGATCTTTGAGCACATAGATGTAAGTAAATGGCCATCTAAAGAATTGTTAGGATTTTTGCGTGTATATTCCTTTAATCAAAAACCTATCCATTGAAATCATGAACCCTTTCTTGTTTCGTAGTCACATTTAAAGTTTCTACAAAAACTACTTATAGTGCCCTTTTCATCCACAAAAAAATATAATTCTTACTGATCCACAAAAGAACGTAGTTTTTATTTTTTTTCGAGGAGTTAAAAGATTTGAAGTTTGAATAAAGTTATATAGATAAGTATAAATATTTATGATACAAAATAAATACTATTAAATTAATTATGCCATATATTTTTATAGTAAACCTAATTAAAGATATAAATGTTACTATAAACTTAGTGAAAGCTAAGTTTTCATCCTTACATGGACGGACGAGCTCACCTCTTAAATTTTCCACATCGAGCACACACACAAACCTAAGAAACGATGTTTTCAAAAGAGGAAAAAAAACAAAAAGAAATAAAAAGGAAAAAAAAAAAGAAGCACCTGCCGGCCCATAGTCATCACCCGATGTCAAACACCTCTGAACGCCAGTGGCCTCACCACTAACCGACAAGAAACTGAGCCTTGGCCGCCACGTGCGCTGAGCCGTCGATTTCTACTCCTACTCTAATTGACACCGTCTGAACCCAGCTGGCTGTTCCATAAACCCCGGAGCGCGGCCACCACGGCGTCTCTCCAGTTCGCGCTCTGACGCTCTCCGCCTCGCCGTCCACCGCCCGCCGCGTTCCCCTCCTCCTCGCCAACTAGGGTTCTCGCGAAGGCGCAGCTCGCCTCGCAGTCACAGGTAGGTGCCCGCACGCGCGCCCCTCACTTAAGCCGCCCTCCGATGGTGATTCTTCCATCTTCCTTGCTCTTGCTCCAGCCGCTCAGTTCCCAACCTTCACGTTCACCGGGAGCCTGATTGCCGCATGGGTTCTTCTGGTTTTTCCATTTCCCGCTTGTAGTTTGCCCGTTGGAATTTGCGGTGTTTCTTGGTTCGGGGTTCTTGCCTTCTTTATACTTGCTGCATTCGTTTCTTTATATTTCCTTCCCCAAGATCATGTTATTAGGATGGGATCGATGCAAAATTGTTGCTGATAAGAGCTCAGGATGCATAACGAGGGTTTCGTTTCTTTATATTTCCTTCCCCAAGATCATGTTATTAGGATGGGTAATGGGTTCGATGCAAAGTTGTTGCAAATAAGGAGCTCAGGATGCATAACGGGGGCTGCTCTAGTTTGGTTCTTTATATTATGTAACAATTGCCATGGTTCTCTTGGCGTTTTGTGTTTGGTTGGTGATTCGGTGGAGACATGAACATGATCTTTATTTGTATCGCCAGTCACCAGTTCTGGCCTTCTGGGTCAGAGTCACATTTTGCATTTGCATGGTCTTTTCTTGTTTCAGGAATCAGCTGAAAATGACAAGAACCGAACAATGCTTGTGCTGTGTGAAAAATCTTTGACGTTTTAGTTATTTGTTGCAAATCTTGTGCTGTGTGAACAATCTTGCGACCACTTCCGGGTGGTCATACACATGTGTCCACCTTATGTTCAGGAGTCAAAAATAAAAAGTCCCAGTCCATTTTAGATTGAGAATAATAAAATAAGCTAAGATGTAAAAGGCTTATTTTTAGGTGTTAGGTTTGTGTCGAGTCGAGTCATCGTTGTAAGTTGGTTAGGTTACAGCTCGAAGACGAGCTGCATGTGTAGGTGGAGTGTAGTATTAGAGTATGTCATGGGCCTATTGGGCTTGGGCTGGCGGTATAGCCCATTAGTGTTAGTGTTAATTAGAGATAAGGGTCGCTTGCTTAGTGGTCAAGTAAGCCTTGCTTGGGAGTCAGATAAACCTCTCTATATAGAGGAGATGTATCAATCCAATTCAACAAGAATTAAGAAGGAAACCCTATTCAGCCATGGACAAAGGCCCTGCGGCCAGCCTCTCGTCCTCGCAGCCCTAGCCATGAACAGTACCCCGCAGGTACTGTAGCGCAGCAGTCGCCATCGCTTCCCTCAACTCTCTCCTCTCAATCCCAACAGCCACATAACAGGAAACTATGGCTTTGTTGTAAGTAGAACTTCTCACTTCCTTGCTTTCCAAGATATGCTCCTTTAATGTTTTAATTAAGAATAGGCACTTAGCTAAGATGTTCACGTTTCAGATCACCTTTGTGCTTTCGTTTGCTGGATCATATTGCAGGAGTTTTGTGATCCCCGGAATGCATATGATGCAAGGTATCACCTTGACAGGCGAGATTTTAAGGGAAGCCGCATCATTGTTCAGTTTGCAGGAGAGGTAATCTGTTTATCACTGTTCTTTTACTACATGTGACATTTTATTAAATTTAGTCATTACATTACTTACCCAAGCAAAGTAGGGAGCTAATGAAATGCAATCTACCATAATTTTTCAATTGAAATATGAGTTCAAATATTGTAAGGTTACTAAATTTTGGTAGGGCATATATCACTAATAAAAAAAACAATTCAACTAGGTGTGGAACATCCTAAATCAATCTTGACAATTAGGAAATATTTCATAGAAGTAATTTATTCCTGTGTGTTATGTGTGGAACTTGAATAGGAGCAGCATGATTAGGTAAAGGTAAGCCAATTAACTGAGGTATTTAACCCCACAAAACCCAATAGCTCCTCGCACATAAGCACATGCCACGTCGCCCAAAATTACTTTGACCGTTCGATCTCAACCGACGACCTAGATCTCTTGGATCGAATTTTACCGGAAGCTAATTCTCCTGCTTCACCTTACCTTCTCCGGCTTCTTCTCAGCTTCTTTCTCGCTTCTCCCGTTTCTCGTCGAAATCCACCCAAACAAATATATACTCAACTTCGGCTTCTCCTTCACGAAGCTTCTCTTCCCCTCCTCTCTCTCTCTCTCTCTCTCTCTCTCTCTCTCTCTCTCTCTCTCTCTCTCGTGTTCGCTCTCTCTCGCTCTCCCTCTCCGACGCGGGCATGGGGCGACGGCGGGCGTGAGCTTCCGTGGCGGCGGCTGGCGTGACGGTGGCGCCCACCATCCTCCTCCTCCTCCCAAGCCTCCCTCGCCTGCCTCTCATCTCCGTCTCTCCCTACTTTGACTGTTTGATCTCCTCAACCGACGACCCAGATCTCTTGGATCGAATTTTACCGGAAGCTGATTCTCCTGCTTCACCTTACCTTCTCTGGCTTCTTCTCAACTTCTTTCTCGCTTCTCCCATTTCTCGTCGAAATCCATCCAAACAAATATATACTAAGCTTCGGCTTCTCCTTCACGAAGCTTCTCTTCCCCTCCTCTCTCTCTGTCTCGTGTATGTACTGATCCTGCGATACGTGCGGCGTCGGCGGATGATAACTTCGACCAGGTATGTATTGATGCGCTCATTTAATTGTTGATCAATTCGGTTAGTTCATGGTTTGATCTGTGAGTTCGTATTTTATTTTGGTGGGTTCAGGTTCGATTTTGAAATGTACTGACTGCAATATCGTTAGTTTATGGTTCGAACTGTGAATTTGTATTTTGTATTAGTGGGTTCAGGTTCAATTTCATACCTACTCAGTTTTGACTGGGTATATTAAATATGTGCTTATCCTGCGATCCAATATCCTCAGGCTAACTTCATTTTTCTGCCTCTATCAAATAAATAGGGGATTCATGGTCTACCTCTTGTTAAGTGTATGGTTAAGGCTCTATCTATAGGCCTATCTATAGGCCCAGTCTATCTATAGGCCCACTCTATATTTAGCCATGAGGCTCTCTATATATTGCCCTCTTCATCTCTGGAGCATTCAATCTTTGTGATCCCTGAGGTACGTAACATGGTACCAGAGCTATGGGATTAGGGTTAGGATTAGATTAGTCTGACCCACGATCCATTTTTTTCCTTGGGATCCTCTCTTCTTCGCGCGGCCCGTCGCTGTGCCCTCTCGTCGGCCGTCTTCCCGCGTGGACAGTCCGTCGCCGTCTCATCGTGCCCCTTCGCCCGACGGCCCGTTGCCGTCTCATCGCCCGCCCGAGGCTTCCGCACGTCCACATCACTCGCGACTTGGATCGCGACTCGTCTCCGTCGCGGCTCGTGAGTTGCATCGCGAATCTTCCGTCGCGGGGCACGTCGCTCGCGACTCGTCTCCGTTGCGGGGATCGTCGTCTGCTGCTTCCGCTCGTCGCTGCTCGTCGCCTCTTCAACCTCTTCAATCTCCGGCTTCTCTGTTCTGCCCGCCTGTTGTTGGAACAGAGCAGAGGAGGTCCTGATCGTCATCTGCTTCCGCTCGTCGCTGCTCCACGTCTCTTCAGTCTCCAACTTCCCTGCTCTGCTCTTTGTGCTGGGAACAGAGCAGAGAGGTCTTGCACGTTCAGCAAATAGAGGGGATCGTCTGCTTCTTATACCACAGTGGTAACAAATCGCTGCCTCCCTCCTCCTTGGTCAGCTGTTAGCAGTTGTTTCCATCATGTCTCAGTCTCAGCTCAATGCAATTGTCATCCGTATCACTTTAGAGGGTCCAAATTATCCTGAATGGGCCTTCTGTGTAGAAACTGCTTTAAGGGGTCATGGTTTACTACATCATCTAACTGACAATGCCCCTAAGCCTAAGGAGGATGGTAGTAATGCTACTGCAGTAAAGGATTGGGGTATCAATGATGGCAAAGTGATGGCTGCTATGGTCAATAGTACTAAACAATCCTTGATTATGAGTCTTTCTAAGTTCAAAACTGCTAAGGCCATATGGGAAAATCTAAAGCAGCGCTATGTACAGGACAGTGGGGCTCTTTTACATAGTCTTATGCAGCAAACTCATGTCATAGAGCAGAATGATATGTCCATTGATGAGTACTATTCTGCTTTTGATCGATTGATGGGATCATTGACTTCCATGGTACCTGAATGTTCAGCTGATTCTTGTCCAGCACATAAATTTATTGAAAAGTTTTTCACTTACAGATTTGTCATGGGAGTTCGAGCTGAGTATGATTCCATCCGTTACACGGTTGCTTCACAGTTCTTCTGATCTCACTATGGCAAATGCTTTGTCGATTTGCTTGCGAAGAAACTCGTCTCAAGTCCCTGTCCGCTACAGTGTCTCATGGTGTGTTGGCAGCTTCTCGGAGGACTAGCGCACCCAATAGTACCTCTGCCGAACCTTGTAAGCATTGTGGCAGGATGGTCATCTTCGTAAAATTGTTTCTCTCATCATCCGGAGAAGTTGGTCGAGTATCGTGCACGGCGTGCTGCTCATGGTGGTCGTGGTCATGGTCGTGGTACTGGTTCCACTCCTAGAGGCTCGATTTGATGGCTACTTCCTCGATTGTTAGTGCTCCCTCGGCTTGGGTGCTTGATTCAGCGCTTCTTTTCATGTGACCTCTCGATCGGTCCCCACTGGTTGCACCTAAGCGGGTCCCCGATGGTGCTTCATTTCGACGGTGATGGTACATATTGTCATGTCACTCATCGTGGTTCACTTTGCAATAATCACTTTTCTATACCCAATGTTTCCTTTGTACCTCGGTTGTCTATGAATCTTTACGCCGGTTGGTCAAATTACCGACCGTAATTGCTTTGTTGGTTTTGATGACTCATCTTGTTTTATTCAGACCGTCGCAATGAAAGTGATTGGGACCGGCCATCGCCGTAAAGGTGCTTCTAGCCTCTACGCTTTGAACACCCTCGTCTTCCTTCGTCCGTTCCATCTACAGCTCATGTCTCATCCATTTGCATCGTCTTGACCTCTTCATTTGCCAAGTGGCATCATCGCCTTGGTCATCTTTCCGGTCTCGCTTTGTCGTCCATGATAAATAAAGGTTGTTTAGGTCATACCTCTATTGAGTCTAGCTTTCATTGTAAGGGTTGTAAGCTTGGCAAACAAATACAACTTCCTTACCCTTCTAGTGTTTCTCGTTCTGCTAGACCTTTTGATATTATTCACACTGATGTATGGGGTCCTGCACCTTTTGCTACAAAAGGTGGTCATAAATACTATGTCATTTTTATTGATGATTATTCTCGCTATACATGGATTTATTTCATGAAACATCGTTCACAATTGTGTTCCATTTATCGGTCTTTTTGTTGAATGGTTCACACACAATTTTCAGCTCCCATTAAAGTTCTTCGTTCGCACTACGGGGTGAGTACTTGTCTGCATTGTCTTTCGCCAATTTCTATCGCCCGAGGGTACACTTGCACAACTCTCTTGTCCAGTGCTCATGCTCGTAATGGTGTTGTTGAATCGAAAACATCGCCATCTCATAGAGACAAATCGCACACTTTTGATTTCATCATTTGTCCCTTCTCATTTTTTGGGAGAAGTCTGTTTCCCTTCTTTGTCTATCTCATCAATAGGCAACCTTCATCTAAATTGTCCGATCACACAATCCCGGTGAAGTACTTTTGGTACTCCTCCTAACTATGATCATCTTCGAGTTTTTGGATGCACTTGCTATGTTCTCTGCTTGCACCTCGTGAGCGCACAAAATTGATTGCACAATCTGTTGAATGTGCTTTTCTAGGTATAATCCACGAGCATAAAGGTTATCGATGTTATGACCCTTCTTCCCGTCGCATACGCATCTCTCGTGATGTTACCTTTGATGAGGATCGCCCTTCTTTTATAACCCTTCCACTAACCCTTCATATTCTCCCACGAGTCCACCTCTTTTTGAGCCTTCCTCCAAATTCATCCACCGATGATGCTTCTGCACCATCCCATCCCTCCTATTTCCATCACACCACTTTTACCTCCTACAACATCCTCGTCTCCATCTCAATCTTTTTCAAAACCACCTATTACACGTGTCTACAGCCGTCGTCCCTCCCAGCTTCCGTCTAGTTCTCCCACCATGGCTAGTCCAGATGAGCCCGCTGCTGATGCTTCTAATAATAACATTGATGATTCACATGTTGATGAGTTACAGGTTGCTCCACGATATAATCTTCGAGACCGCAGTACCATTCATCCTGAAGAGAAGTACGGTTTTCCCCAAGTGCATGTTTGTTGTTGATGAGCCATCCACTTATCGAAGCTTCTCAAATTCTGGAATGGCAGCTAGCTATGTCTGAGGATCTTGCCGCCCTTGATCGTCAAGGCACTTGGGATCTTGTTCCATTGCCATCGCACACAGTACCTATTACATCTAAGTGGGTATTCAAAGTGAAGACCAAGTCAGATGGCTCTATAGAGAGATATAAGGCCCGTCTTGTTGCTAGAGGTTTTCAAAGAAACTCGTGGTCTAGATTATGATGAGACTTTTTACACTGTTGCTCATATGACGACAGTTCAGTACATTAATTGCGATTGCAGCAGCTTCTTCTTGGCCCATATCTCAAATGGATGTCAAGAATGTCTTTCTTCATGGTGATTTGACTGAAGAAGTTTATATGCAACCACCCCCGGGTGTTGTCGCTCCTCCAGGATATGTCTGTCGTCTTCGCCGTGCTTTATATGGCCTTAAACAGGCTCCTCGTGCTTGGCATGAGCGTTTGTCTCGATGATACGGGCTGCTGGCTTTTCACTAGTGATCATGATCCGGCTTTATTTGTTCATTTGTCACCACGTGGCCGTACGTTGCTTCTTCTCTATGTTGATGATATGTTGATTACGGGTGATGATAAGGATCACATTTCCCATGTGAAGCAACAACTCAAGTGCTGAATTTTAGATGTCCGATTTGGGTCCTCTCGCTTATTTCTTAGGCATTGAGGTCAAGCAATCTACTCGTGGCTATCATCTTTCTCGGTCTAAGTATATACAAGATCTTATTGCTCGTTCAGGCATCACCGATAGTCGAACTCATCGCCACACCCATGGATCTTCACTTGCGCCTTCGTCCCCACCGATGGGGTACCTCTTAAGGATCCCTCTCGATATCGACACATTGTGGGCAGCCTTGTTTACCTCATCATCACTAGGCCGGATATTGCTCATGCAGTCCATATTTTGAGTCAATTTGTTTGTGCCCCAACTTTTGTTCATTTTGGACATTTACTTGGCGCATACGCTACCTCGGGGGACATCATCTCAAAGTTTACTCTATGCGCATGATAGTCCGCTTTAGCTTCATGCTTACTCGGATTCCACTTGGGCGAGTGACCCAACAGATCGATGTTCCATCATTTGGATATTGCATTCTTCTTGGCTCTTCTCCTATTGCATGGAAGTCCAAGAAGCAAGCAAATGTATCTCGCTCTAGTACAAAGGCTGAACTTGAGCCCTTGCCACTACTACTGCAGAGAGATTGTATGGCTTGATGGTTGTTGGCTGATTTAGGCATCTCTTGTGATGTTGCCACACCTCTTCTATGTGATAATACAGGAGCCATACAAATTGCTAATGATCCTGTGAAGCATGAACTCACAAAGCATATTGGTGTGGATGCTTTCTTTACTTGGTCTCATTGTCATCAGAAGACTATTTCTCTCCAGTATGTGCCTTCAGAGTTGCAATTGGCTGACTTCTTCACTAAAGCACAAACTCGGGAGCAGCATCGGCTTCACTTGATCAAACTCAATGCTTTAGATCCTCCACTTTCACCTTGAGTTTGAAGGGGGGTGTTAAGTGTATGGTTAAGGCTCTATCTATAGGCCTATCTATAGGCCCAGCCTATCTATAGGCCCACTCTATATTTAGCCATGAGGCTCTCTATATATTGCCCTCTTCATCTCTGGAGCATTCAATCTTTGTGATCCTTGAGGTACGTAACACCTCTGACTCTTCACAAATTCAAGATTCATAATTTTGGAGTGAAGGTAACAAATGTTTTTGCAGGAATGAAGCTATGTATCAAAGTCAGGATATGGACGAAGGCACTACCTGTTACCTTACCGTGCATTGGTCCGGTATATTTTCCCTAAACTGCAAATTCTATTTCAAATCCATATATAATCAGCACGTCTTCTCAGCTAGCAATGCATTGGTTTAGTACCAAATGTTTAAAACTCACAACTACCGCTGAAGACACCAACATTATGTACATGATATACGAGTGCTCAAATTTTTGGGCCCATGTTTTTTGCAAGATAGTTAGCCGATGGTAGAACATATTAAATGCGTTGCAGGTTAATGCTCCACAGTTCCTTTCTCGCCATTCTTTTCCTTTTTAGATCCAACCCATAAATAGTACTGCTTACTGAAAGTTGCAGTGGGTAATGAAACAGGTACTATTTTAAATGTTCAGAACCTTTACTGGATGCCTAGATGGTTTGCCAATTCATTTAGGTGTTCCCTTTTTCACTGAGGATGTATGAGTCTGCCATGGTTCCCAATACGTACAAATTCATGTGAATAAGGTGCCCCTTTCTCTTTGTGTACGTTGCTTTTTTGGCTTCCCGACATCATATTCTTAGTTATTATTCCAAATCATTCTTAGAATGGTAATGAAACTGGTACTATTTTAAGTGTTCAGTTCCTTTGTTGGATGGCTGCTTATTTTATTTTTCAAACTGATGCTGCCTTGCCTCCCTGCTAAATTATTTGTCTGCCAACTAATGCTGCTTTTGTTTCTTTGTACTCATGCTGATTATGAGCATAGCATGACATGGCCTTCATTTCCCTTCTCATTACAAATTCTCATTTGTAATTCGTACCTAACAGACATAGGCATCCAGCCTCGCGTGAGTTCTCCATCTACCTCTTCATTTTATCTGCCAGTGTCTAAGCAATCGGTTGGCCTTGCTGGACATCTTCTTCTATTGGTGGGTATTTAGGATTCATAGCAAATGTAGGTGCTTCTCAAGGCCCGCTAGATGTCAATTCATAATATATTCTCTGGATTCTGTTGTTGTCAACGTAAATGTGCTTTGCTAACCTATTCCAGGTATTTGTGGTGTGACAAAAAAAAATCAGCCTTTGTCTACAGACTGGATATGGTTGCTTCCTAAAACTTTTTCCGCCTGCAATAAATGATAAACTTGGTAGGATCACGTAAAGTTAGTGCTATATTTACATAGTCTACTATTCAAAATTGTAGCTGAATCTATTTTATCGGCCTTCAAAATTCTCAGTGCAAATAGATT